CTACTACTACTACTACTACTACTACTACTACTACTACTACTACTACTACTGGGGTGGTGGCTTTGCCACAAAACGCTACCCCGCAAAAGGCAAAAGTTTGGCGAAAGTTCAGCTCAAGATTGGCGAAAGTTCACCCTGCCACATCTGACCCCCAGCCCATTATGAGTAAGTTTGAGTGACCGGCTACTACAGTGATTCTTGCAATTTTGATTCTTGCTGACACCCTGGAGAAACAAAAGAGACGTAGAGGGTGTCAACAGTTAAGTAGAAGACACATGCCGACAAACAGTGAAGTTTCTATTTTGTGTTTGCCAGTAAAGAAGAAGCCATTGACGTGAACAAAACACAACATACATGGCACACATAAATGCAACATACTTCGGCGAAAGATAAAACGCAGGAAGGCGAAAGTTTGGCTAAAGTCATGTTTTTTCGGCGAAACAATGACGGATCCCGGATAAAGGAATTTAAATCAACTCATATAATATACATTATGTTGTTCTGCAAGGCTGCCAGCTGGTGTTTGTTGTGTTCGTTGGGTGGTGTTTCTTCTGCAAACGTCCCAGGTGTTGGTGCATCATGGGTCTCCGGGTCATGAAGGTGCCAGCCGAGATGACAAGAACAAACTGTAAAAGACGGGAAGGGGATGGCGAAGGTCCCTGTACAGTGATCCTTGGAGATTTGTCTTCAATAAGCAATGGCCTCCAACCGAGCATGGGCCAGATAGCATTGGTTCTGGTCTTTTCAGGTTGGGTGATGAGGTCCCAGATGGTCCCATGTTCGGGTCAAGCGGCGCTTTGTGAAGCTTGATTCGCGACCAAGAAGTAGGCGCTCGCTTTGGCGCTTAGTCTTTGTTCGGGTGGACACCGAGGTGAGGCTGAAGAGCCTTGTGGAGACGAAGACAGGGACCGAAGAGAACGACGGGTGTCAAGCCTTGTTTCACATTTACCACTGTAAATCCATCGCATACCTGTAAGAGAATGTTCACCGTAATGTTTGAGTCGTGCGTGCGGCGCGTTTGTCATTTCCAGATCCGATGCGCCAGTGAATTGCAGTGCCAGCTGCACCGAAAATCTCGCACAGAACCAGTGCCAAATGTGCAGAGAAGTGGCTCAGAGGGTCGGTCCTCTTTAAGTCCACATCATGTCACATCCAAGTTGGTCAAGTCTGCAGAGCTGGTCGCGTGGTCAAAATCCTCGTCAGGTCACGAGTGGTGGATATAGACCTGCGCGGAACAGTCCCCGCGCTCCCGACTCGCCCCTTCGTCACGGTGGTGGTGGAAGGCTCGGATGGCCCCGAAAGGGTGTCCGAAGACTGAACAGATGGTGAACTCCACGTTCTTCATGATTATTCCTGGAAGTTGCAATAGCTGCGGAAGAGTTCTAGAATGTTGGGTGTCCTGGACTAGAAATTCTCTTGAAAGTTTTCTCAATAGTTCTGCTGCATCAGTGCCATGAAAGACGCCCACACTTACCAAGGGCCTCGCCAGGGCTCACCCCTTCACACGAGAGATGCGGGTCTTGATCACCTGACGTGTTGTTCCTTGACTTCCCCACCGGTCCCCCAAGTATAGAAGCTTTCATTTGCTCCCCACATGTGGAATCACTTGGATATTTCTGTTCCAAAAAATAAGTTTTTTTGCCAATTTCAAAAGGCGCGTCCACCTACTATGTTTGCTGGTTCTTCTTCAAAGAATTGGTTGTCTTCCCGAAAAGGGTGAATCACCTTCGGAATCGGAAACATGGTGTTTTCCGGGCTCCTGGTTCTCTCACCGCAAATCCAAGTGTTTAAAGCACTCCTGTCCTTCGTCAGGTACCCAACTTGTTGATTCTTCTGCTGGCCTGTGGGGTCGGTTACATCGGCATGCAACGCGAAGACGCCGCATGACGGAGAGAAACGATGCGAGCCAGACGGGGCGGGGCGGATTTTAGACGCATGATGCGAAGACGCCGGCGCAGCGCCCGGGAAAATCGGATTTTTTGGGTGGACGATTTGCTGACTTGGACCGGGGGGCTTGAAGTAGCTCACACGGCCTCAAGTTAGCCACAACAGTGCGGAGAGTACATTGTAGATCTTCTTGGAGACTGGTTTCGCAAGGATGTCACTTGATTTGATGAGGATTTAGATGTTGATATTATTATATATTATTATCTGCCTACAAGCAATCTGGACCTGGACTGTTCAGCTTGAGAGTTTCACTGACACCTCCAAAGCACCTTGCGCAGATGGTGTCACTGCTCATTTCATGGGTTCTGCCCAACTGAAGCTGGTTGTGCAAATGTCTCGCACCATTTTGACCAACAGGTCCGCCGCATGCCTTCAGAATAAAGGCCTTTCTTCAGAAATTCTTCGTAGCCAGCCAGAACACTTTGAGAACGGGGCGAAACAAACATAAACGAAGATGATGAAGCAGCACTAGCAATCAAAGCGTCAGGTGTTCAAGACGACTTTTCACTCTGAAGTCACATCATTGTGCTTCGGTGGTATGTAATTAATTATATAGCCTATGCTGTGCTTTAAAAGGATTCTTCTTGCACTCGTGGGTACAGAAAGCCCTATGACATGCAAGTGTTGGACAGTATGGATGAGAATTCAATCAACGACGATGACTGCATGCATTTCTATAGGATTTTCAGGTCCTTGCGCAATTGAACGTGCTTTCATGAAGATACCTATCCCTTCTTAATGAATCTAAGGGAACATGGTCCCTTACTGACCAACTACTGTACTCGTTGCTCTGGAAGCAGAACTGACCAATATCATCGCCAGAACTGACTGTTCCCAAGAGGAACCTCTCTGCCCTTCGTGTGAAGTATCCATGAGTTGTTCTAGTTCCTCATAGCCATCCATTAGCGACCATACGAGCCCTCACACTGAACCCCCAAAAAAGGTCGATTGCAGGAAATCCATGCAAATCCTGGACAAAAACACACACACAAAAAGGCTAATATGGGAATATCACACCAATCTGGACACTATCCAAAAGGTTTATTCACCACTATCATCCACTATGCATTGAAGTTGAAAATAGTTCATTTACGTACTTGATATGCAAAATCTATAGCATCAATTATATATATATAAAGTTGGTGCTTTTCTATTGTACAAAAAAAGGTTTGACCTTCACTCTCCCATTAAAAAAAAGAAAGAACATACAAAAACCCTCACCCGTCGCCACTCGCTTCCTCACCGCCCGAGGCTTGGTACCGACTAACGACCACTCTGGCGGCGGTGATCTCTTTGGCGCAGATGCCGGAGGAGAAGCTGAACCGTTCCTGGGCGAAGCGGCGGCGCATTTCGTGGCGCACCGGGTTTTGAATTGGCATCGTTTGGAATTGGTTGGTTTTGGGTGAGTTTCGGGTTAAGCTCAGCTACTCTGAGAGTTGTGGGGTGATTTGAGTTGAAGTAGTCCGACATTTGAGATCGAATTGATCTCGAAATGTGGAGACGATTGGGAACCATCTTGCCATTGCAGATAGGGCATGCTTCGGAGGTTGGGAGGTTGCAAGATACTTGAGATGCATCTAGGTGGAGCAAACGAAGATCAAGGACGGACATGCCGTCTTGAACGAACCAAAACACACAAAGATATGAGATGAAGATGCCAAGAGCATTCAGGTATCAGCCCGTCTCTCAGTGAACTTAAGCCAGAGGTTAGAGGAATTCTTTTGAACAGGGCCACTCAGAACCTCCGAAGTGCGCTTTTTCTACTTGAAACAGAGGAAGCTGTCCGCTGACTACTCCAGGGCAGGTAAGGCGAAGTCCTATGGGTTTATCCCGCTGACCGTTTATGCAAGGTTTGAGCATCGCTGGCTGGCTTGGTTTTACCCATATACTGCTATACTATAGATCTATACTGTATATTCTGGATCAACCAGCCTGTAACTGCATTGTAACTGCTGGGTTTGATAATCCTGGCTCATTTGGGAATCTGAGAAAAGCACTTCACTCAGAGCTGAAGCATGGCAGAATTGATCCGAAGGAGATTCTCGAAACTTTCAGTGTGAATGAGCTTTCAGGGTTCCACTTTCCAGTGAATGTAAGGTGTCTAGACTCTAGATACTAGTCCCACCTACATCAAGTTTTGTGTCTTCCCTGTGAAACCCATCGATACTCCATCTCTTTCATTGGTCCTCGGCAAAATATACCCGAGCCTCGGTGAAACTGAAAATAAATTGAACGCTCGGATTCGGTCAACCACTTGAACAGTCGTGAAACGATGGATATATGGACGGTAGACATCCACCCATACATGTTTTATATGTTTTTCGATTACTTAGTTATATACCGCGGCATTAAGCATACAAGTAGTATCCATCATGGAAGGTTCAGCTTTGTTTCGGCATGTCCACTACGGGACTGAAGGCCCTTGTTCGCCATGTTCCAAAACCCCCCTTCCACGCAGCATTCAAGCGATTCAAGGCTTCCTGTGGTCGTACAGTATGTTCCAGAAGGCGTGGCACGGTGCGAAGTGGATTTCGGGGAGATTTGACGCACGTGAAGCACAGCCGAGCGATCCGACTCGTCTAAAGACTGGTCACTACAATGGAGCATTTTCCAGACACTCCATGGGACTGCCATATATGCCCGCATTGACCCCCAAAACCACCCCAATAGGGTGGCATTTATGGCAGTGCCAGATAGGTCGTGTCTGGGTTTTGGTCTGGAACAGACGATGGATGATCGTTAAGTCCACATATGAACAGATGGTGGAAGAGCGTGGGGTCTAGCGGATCAGCCACCAAAAGCTACCCGCCCAAAAGCTTCCCTTGGCAAATTGATTAGGTAGTTGATTTCCAAAACAGTCACTGGAGACCAATGCACATTTCAACTTCGGACCACTATTTGTCCAATACTACATTGACTACATCCAGCAGAAAGTGGGACACACGCGGATTCTACACCCAATTGTATACAGTATACACCAATTGCGGAAAACAACATTATGTAATAAACTAAAAGCACACACACACACACAAAACCCCCTCAACCCCCTCAAACGCTTTGGCACATCACCTCCACCACCACTCCGACCCGCTCACCTCTCGCCTCTCGCCGACTCCAAGCCTCCTCCCGATGTCCTTCACCGGTGCAGGACCAGTTCACCGGTGAAGCGGGTGAAGTGGATTTGCTCACGGATTATTACAGACCGGGACACCCAGACCGCCCTCAGACCGCCGTCAGACGCAGACCCACGGGACCCACGTCACGGTCACGTCTGACGCGTGCCCGTTGAGACCGGGAGATGAGAGGAGAAAGAGAAGAGGACTGGGACGGCACGTTCAGACGGGATCCGGGTGAATTCAATGGATAGGGGGTCCGGTTTTGGGAGAACCTTGCCATGTGTTGCCGAAGGTGGCCGAAGAATGTGGTTGTTTTCTTTCGACGCTGGTGAACGCGACCAGTGACCAGTGTATGTGTCTTCCATCGAGGGGATAGACCAAAGGTGGAGACCCAAAAAACGAGATGATGGACATCTCTTGCATGGTGAGGGAACACGGCGTGGATGACATGACCCAACACCACGGAATGTCAAAGCCAGCCGCAAAGCCTTCTGGCCAAGAAAAGACAAAAGGAGTGCATTTTCCGCGGCCAATCACGAAAGCTAGCATGCTAGCTGAGTTCTTCTTTGCTTTAGCAATGTTGTGGTGGGAGGGGCTGCGTGCCTTAAAGATTGATATATCAAGCTAA